TTAAAACAAATTATGCCTTTCAAAAAAAATAGTTTAATCTTTGAAGAGAAAAAGTTAGTAGAAGGATGATGAAAATTTGAAATTGTGAAGTAGAAAGGCTTAAAAAATAGTTATAATCCCATGAAATCCGGTGGAAGAAAACGACCGGGTCTAAGGAACCACATGCGATTTCGCGTACGTCCACATCACCATCAACCAACGCCTTAATTAGCGCCCGTGAACATACGAAAGTTCAACCCACTTTCAAAGATTCATGACTCCAAATATAATTATATAAAACATTTTTCTATTATCATCTAATCATTCCTCATAAATACTAATTACGTCAAATTAACATCAACTGTTTTTTTATCACTATCTAATCTTAAACAAGTGCTAACGCGGTTTTAAACCATCCACTGGACTTCAAGTATGGAAATCAAAATTAAAAAATAGATCTGTTTTAAGCAAACAAAAGAAAAAAATAAAGATTCAACGGTTAAAGATTAAACGAGTAAGCAATTCTATAAATCATAAAATAATTAACTAACGAAGAAAATATAAAGAGAAATACTAATACATACCCCACGTGGTTTGTGAGTGTGATGGTGCAGCGTCCTCGGGCCACCGTCCTCTGCCGCAGCACTGCCGGCGGCCTCGCCAGCATTGTTTCCCATGTACAAACTTATGATTTTCTCCGCCACGTCGGACCCGTCGGTGCTCTCCTCCATGAGCTTGTCCAACTGGGCCTTGGGGAGCCTCATCTTAACCCTCATGGGCCCATCAGAGTCCAGATTGGAGTTGGGCCTAACGAGGGCGAGGTCCGACACGGAGCGTTTGGAGAGCATCAAGAGCTCGAGTCTATCCTTAGCGTTCATGCCGCGGATACCACTGGATCGCACCCTCCTGTGCAGCGCCGTTTTATCGTCTTCGGGTTGAATCTTGGGTAATTCGACGAGGAAGTAGATTTTCCTGGGCTTCAATTCGTGGTGAGGCTCAAGGGGCTTGGCCCGAAGGCCGAAATGTTTGACCGCTTCGGAGTCGAGCAGAACGTGGCCGGGGTAGTCCTTGACGACGTCGTTGGCTCTGGCCGGAGTTTTGAACTTCAACGTTTCTCCATCGACCTTCATGACCTTGGCCTTTCTACTCCTTCCTATGGTGTTCCCCATAGCTTCTTGAATTAAGGTGTTTACTCTGGATTTTTGTGTTTGGTTTTTTGATGGGCGAAATTAAGGTACGTGGATTTTGGCCTGACCGAGTTTTGGGGAATTTATATTGGGATGGTTTGGTAGTAAGGTTGAAATTTGAATGATGGGGATGCATGTGTGAATTGGTGGAATGTTGAAAATAAAATAAAAAAGAAATCGGTGAGTTTAGTGGTAAATAGTGGTGGGAAAAGTCTGGTTGTTAAGGGATAAACACTGGTTTGGTTGGGTTAATAGAATAGTTGTGGGGTAGGGCAGACCAACCTTTCATTCTAATCAATCTCCCATTTGAGAAAAAGAGGAAAAACAAATGGGGTACCCTCTCATATTCTTTTCATATATGCTCTGTCTACCTGTTCGACCAAGTTGCGTGCGTTTTTTACATCCACCTTGACGTTGCATTTTCTAAAAACACTCAGTTTATACCTTTGTCGATTTCCCAAGCCTTATGTTTTCTCACGCAAATAATTAAGATCTGTTATCTGAACTGCTTTTCCATTAAAGTGAAATTACTTTGAAAAGTTTAAATATTCATTTGCCAAAATAATTATTATTAAAATGTCTATTTGGAAAAGTACGAAGAAAGAGCAAAGGTTTTGGCAATGCATGCACACTTTACAAAGTCTAACCTTCTAGTGTTTTCAATTTATTACACAAGACTAAGCCAAGCGCACGTGAAAAAAAAACCAAATTGCTGGGAGCAAAAAAAAAAGGTGTTTATCTTTCCTTTCTTTTGAACAAAATGGATTTT